GTCACGAACCTAACTGCAAGCATCTCTTCCTGCTTCTTGTGTGGTTTTCACCCTGACCTTGATACTCTTTTCTGCCTCCCTAGTGGTACCTCACGCTCAGGCCACCCCCTCGTGCTTTCTTAAGAACAGGAACAGCAGAAAGAGAGAAAGAAGTTAGGACAATTAGAAACATTCCTTGAGATTTCCTGCCTCTAATGCCTAATGCAAAGGGGCTGCTGTTTCTCAGTTAACAGAGAGTAAAACAAGAGCAAATTAATGAGCTTAGCAAATTGAGGACAAATTGAATAAAATGGAACCAAATTCATCCCTGATGTCTTGTCTTTGAAGGCAACAGAGGGATAAATTTATCTTGATATTTTTAACTGCTTCTTAAGGACACGTGTGAGGACTGGGGAGAGGGGGTGGCTTTTTGGCTGCTCAATATTGTTTTGTCATTTGGTACTTGCCACCTACTTCATTAATGCTCTATAACTAGCAATTGCTCTCAGATTCCTGTAGCCAATATAACAGAACAACGTGATTACAGGTCGGAGTTACCCTCACTAGGGACTGAGCCAGAAAATACCACTTTAGCTCCCTGTGCCTTTGAGCTTGATGGTTGCTGGCCTAGATCACCCACTTTCATCAAGCTCTTGAAGACAGATGCTCTCTCTTCACTATACTTCAGTACTTGTAAGACTTACATGTATTTACTTACTGACTAGGTCCAAGTGAATGGCTGTTACAACAAAATATTCTTATGGCTGGTTTACCACAGAACTACAAGAAGGACACTTCTAAAGTATTCAGATGCAATGAAGCGCTGTGCGATACATTCAGTGCTAAGAGGCAACACTGTCACCTAACAGACTTACTTGGCCTTAGGAAAGAAACTCTTTTGCCTTGGGTTTTTTTTTTTTTTTTTGCCTTGGAATTGTTACAGAGCTTAAACATGCAAATAATTAGCAAGTCCAACAAGACTTTCCAGTGAACAAAATGCTAATTTTAATTAACCACATCTGAACAGTAAATTCACTATTACGCAAGTCACATGTAAATGAAAAGCCTTAAATCAGGTGTGGAGCATACTTGCAGACAAACACTTCTTAGCAAGAAATTCAAATGAAGCAGCGATTACCCTGTTGTGGCCTAGGTGGAGCATTTGCAAGTGGTGCACAAAGAACTGGCTATTCACATGGTTCTGGCACTCCTTCCTAGCTTCCTGCTGCTAAATTACATTAAGAGACTCTAAACATACTTTCTTAATATCCCTGCCCCCTGCAGGGAATTATTGTGGTTGCCACAAGAACATTACTGGATCATGATGGGGCAGGAAAAGGGCTTGGTACAATCCTGAACAAGCTATCCGTGTAAGCATCTCTGGGGTCCTAATTCAGCCTGCTGTCTCTACTCAGCGAAATATGTAACCCCTCTGTTTAACTTACATACAGGGTTAGGTAAGATGGACTGCAATGAGAATGAACACATTTTTAATTTTCCCAGTGATGTCAGAGTAGCGTTGAAGGCTACCACAGGTTGCACAACTGGGATTATAGACAGCAAGCTCTGCAAAGCACGGACTGAGTTTTTATTTTTCTTTTCCTAAAATAACTCCAAGAATTAGGGTCAGAATTTTATCTGCAGCTGACAGCACTACCGTAAAATAGCATTGCATCTGCATAGAAATAATGACATCCTAAGAGACGCAAAGAGAAAGCCGCACTACTGGAACAGTTTGATCATTATACTACTCTGATGCCAGGCAGTGAACTGCCATCAAGTTCAAATTAAATCATTTTCCTGTTCCTGGGTCCCAATTTACCCTCAGCATTTTTTTTAGAGTCACCATTCTTAACATTTGTTTTCTAATTCAGGGCAGTACATGCAGCAGAATTAACTCACACAATGTTTAAATCAGAGAAAAATGTGGCTATATCCCTGTTTCTGAGTTTGCTTATATGTTTACCTGTAACATGCACATTGTTCAAAGAATACCCTTTAATAATTGAGTAAAAAATACCCTCACCTCTATTCATGTTAGGTTTTCCAACTAAGTGTGCTTGCCAAATTGTTATACTTAAAATACAAACCAGCAACCTTCAATTCCAAAATCCATATCACATGCAAGACATTCAACTTAGTGATGTTTGCAGTAATTCCCAAATCTGTGATTCAGCTACACCAGTTATGAGCCATGGCCCATCTTCATGCAACTACCCTGGGGTGGGATCAGGATCCTCTTTATATCCTTTTTGAATCCAGCTTAATTCAGAGCCCTACTTGCTATAAATTGATCAATGGAACTAGATCAATTTGCATTTAATGAGGACTTTATCCAGAAAAATGTCATCTTCAGGAACTGCAGGAGTGTACATGTATGTGTTGGTATAAAAATACACATACATGTATCTTGCAATAAAAATGGGAAATCCCAGCACAAGGCAATGATATTTCTAATGACTCTCTTCAGAAAACATGGAGCACCCTCAATCTGCGCAGTTTCCATCTATCAGCTTGTAATTACAGCAACTAGAGAAAAGGATAGTGCTCTGTAAGTAACAACAGTGCAGGATTACAAACAGCAAAAATATGGGTTTTCAACCTTTGGCCTGTGCTCTCTCAGATTATCTTTGCCCTGGCTTTTTACTTTGATCTCAGTTGGTAAAAGTTTCTGAGAGATTTTTTTGTACATCTGCAAACAGAACTGTGCACAGATCCTCCTTCCCACTGAATCCCAAATCAGACGTGAACAAGGCAAAGCAATTACATTTGTTTTGCTTATGGTCAGAACTGCTCCTTCCAGCTTTCTTTCCCTTTCAGGGCTCTTCCAGTTACCAACTTGGGTAAAACTGACCAAGCTTTGCACATATTTATCTGTATTCTGGGACTCACGCTGTCAGACTTGAGCATGCTTTTCCTGTTCAGGGTGTCTTATTGATTTTTCCTACGTCCCTTACCACGTACTAACTTGTCTGACAGAGCTGAGTAACAGGAAGGAGGACAAAAAGTCCAGGTTAATTTCCTCTTAGAGGGATGAGGACTGTCACTTCCATGGGGGGCTTATTGCTCGGGGAACAGCGTTGCTCCAGGGAGCACCTGGAGTGAACTGAACAACTCCTGGAAAATACTTGCACAGTTCAGGTGCTGCGTGTGAACTGGGCAATTCTAGGGGTGTACAATTTAAGATTTGTTATTTTAAAGGGGGCCTAAGAAGTTTGAACGGCCAGTTATTATTTAAATTAACAGGAACAGAGTGTCTAATCTTCCAGGTGACTTTAGAAATTTCAGCTTAAGATCTGTTCTTTAGCTCAGTAGATTCTCCTGAAAGAGACAGGCTGCACTGTGGGCCTTGAAGCCATCACTACTTGAGCTAAGGATGAGGGGGACCTAGAAAAGCACAGCTAGCAAGAAAACGTGACAGCTTCTGTAAGGTACTAGTAGGAAGACCTGACTATCCAATTCCTTCTCCCACTGTTCCAGTACCCTGAAAGGAGCACTTTCAAGCCATGTGAGGCTGCATGGTTTTGCTCCACAGCTCCACAGGGCTATCTAGCATTAGTGACTCTACCAGCTTCTTACACCAGACATTTCTTCACCCCTTCTAGGCAAGACAGGCAAGCACAGCAGCTTTGTCAGATCTCGGAAAAGACAAACAAGGTTCTAAAGCTTGTTTGTTCAAAAAAAAAAAAAAAAGTAAATTATCAGAGTTAATCCTTCAGTTTCCTCAAGACTGCAGACAGTAAACCTGGTGTATGACTGGCTCTCATCATCACCATGAATGGTTCAGATTAGACAGTGAACTACAGATTCACAAACTGAAGGAAATGAGATATGTTTATGCAATGTTCTGTCATCCTTCATGTTTATTTTTTAAATGTGGCCCTACAAAGATGTTCACGACAGAACTCTGTGTCTGGTCTGTTAGTTATGTATGTTCAGGTATTTCATTCACTTGCTTAATAACCTGTAAAGCCCAGTTTTGAAAAAGTATTCTGACATCTCAGTAGTAGCTAGATACCTGATATCTTTAAACATGTAAGTTCACATTTTTGTTTTATAAGTCTGCCTTGTAGGCAAGCCTCTCTTCCCCAGTGCCTGGACTACTATTGTGGGTTGCTAGTCAACATGGACCTCACTAAAGCAGTGAAGTTCAACAGTACCATCTAGAAACAGATCAGAACTTCTTAACTACACTGAAGAGATTGGAACTCCCCTTCCTCATAATTCCTTACAATTTGGAACTCTCTGAGCAGTCATGAGAATCTCCTGGCACTCTAATCCCATGACCATGGAATTTTTATTTTTATCTGATGCAGACAACAGACACTTTTCTTTCACAGATGCATCATGACAAAAATTAAAAAGTTACTTCAGGCTGGCTCAGAGATCAAGGGAAAACCTCTCATATTGCTGCTGCTGGATTCTGTAAAGGCTGCAAAACAGCCAATGCCTCCAGTGCTTTGTCACAGTTCCTCAGGTCCCTTCTCAGCTCTGATGATGCCTGGTTCTAGGCTTGCAAAGTAGTTTAAGGGAACTCAAATCTGTCTTTTTGTAAGATACATCTACTAATATTTACTTACATCACAGATAAGCATGGCATATGGAATAAGGCTTAACTTACTAATATTTGGAGAATTATTTGAGGTCCTTGATTTCTAAGTAGATCTGTTGATTCATACACTACATGGAGTACAGACTTGATCTAATGCTCACTCAAGTTAGTTACTGTGACCGACATCAGACGGGTAGATGAAAATGGCTCAGGCCAGGAATGTCATGCACTATGGGTTTCCAATAGGACCTCCGCTAAATGATGCTTAATCTTTGTAGTGTTGTTCTGCAAATGGTTGAATTTCACTCTGAATCTTGCTTTAGAATTAATAATGTCACTTATCTCTTGCAAGTGCAATATGAGGAAAGAACTGGGGAAGTGAGGACGAGGTCCCCGGTAGTGACTGACACAGACAAAAAAACAAACAAGCACAGTACCCTTGCCCAGCCAGAAACATCATTTTGCTTACCATACACACCCACAGAGCTGAAAAACAATCTGAGTCTCCACAGCACATTCCAGCTTTGCTGCTTTTGTAGTAGGAACTTTCTTTTTCCACTCCAGTTTCTGCTTGCCTATATAACATAGGCATTGTGCCCTGCAACAGAGAACAAAACAAACTTTGAGGTTCCTTTAAACTAACACCACCATTTCATCCCTCTAGCACATGCCTGTGCATAGATTCCCATTCTGCAACTGATATTTATTGATCTAGATTCATATGATCCAAGAAAAGCTTGACTGCATTGCCTTGTGGTAAAATTATAAGGGGAAAAATTGGAATGTGAGGGAGAAGGGAGGAGGAAAGCCAAGCTTTTATAACTCTTTGTAAACCTGGTTTATGTGAGCTTGGCCAACCCAGGGTCTAAATGATCTGTTACGCTTAAGAAGTGGATGTGAAAGGCAGCACTGTTGCTGAGCTGCTGGTGCCCCACAGAATCAAAACATTTCTGCTGAGCTACAATTTAAACAGTCATACTCCAACTAATTATGGGAAGCAGCCCCTGTGAGGAAGTATGCTTTCCTTCTCAAAGCACTTTACCTTCAGCAAGTAAACAGTCCTAAGTGTAATATTAAAAGCACTAAAGTTTATATGCGTTTTTATTTTGTGCTAATAGAGCAATTAAAAATGCACACCATCTCAAATTTGCATTTTCATTCTACAGAGGTTTCAATGCTTTCCTGCAGATTCAGGGCTGATCTGCAAATCACTACCTGTCAGGAGAATACAGACCTCTCCTGCCCCTTTGTGCTTCCATTAACATAAAAAAAAAATCAACTATTATGGGTTCTCTGTTGTGCCCAGTTTCTGCTTAAATTACTGGGTTGCACATTCCCTGATGATGTGCCTTGCTCTGCCACAGGACTCCAAGGCACCACCTACCAGCTGCATGCATCCAGGTCTCCTCCTCCCTGTCACCTGCTCCTCTGCCAGCCATTAACAAATCTGCTGTATTTTACTCATCCTTACAGACTAAAGAAACAACCTACATAAAATGAGATTCCCTAAAAGCATGAAACCATATCTAGATTCAGATCTGCTTTTAAAATCTCCTTCTCCTTCCTCCTCCATTCCCACAGAATGCAAGTCCCTGTACACCTGGCAGATAAAACCATGCTGCTAGAAATGTGTAGACTTTCTGACAGTGCTGAAGTGACCATGGGAGATTAAAGGGACTTGTAAAAGTCCCTTTAGTCAGGTAAAGAGTCCAAAGAAATGTTGGTGATTGTAAGAAACCTGTATGGTGGTGGACAGAAAGGGGGAACACTTATTCCTTTCTAGTGAGTCCATACAAAGAATTGCCAAGCTAATTCATGTGTCTATTAGCCCCATTTTCCAAAAGATATATCCACATAAAGCAAGAAGATTTAGCAAGAAGATTTTTCAAGGTGTTCAGCTCCTATTCAGCATCCTTTACATTTATTCATATTCTTGGTAAAACTCAACAGGGTCTTTTATCTTACGCATATACCTACAAAGGTGCCTGACCCCTGAAAATGTGACATCATTTCTGGATGTATAAGCTCTACTGATCTCAGATGAATTCTTTCAATAATGTGCTCAAAAGCTGAAAACAAATTTTAAATTACATAGGGCTTTCACACAGCTTTTCTGCAGAGAATTTATCCATCGTAGAAAATAACATCTAAAGGTCTGCTGAGAAAAAAAAAAGTTAACAAGAATTAATTCATGATTTTTTTTTTCTCTAAACTTTATGTAGGTTAGAATCTGAAAAGAAATGGTCTGAAGCTCAAAACTAAGGTGATGCTCTCCTCACAGGACCATCTCCTGTGTCCAAAGAAGTAATACAGGATATCGTAGAAGATGACATGCTGTGAGGATGGTTAACAACCAGAGCAAACTTCTGAGGCCACAAATGGATTTTTCATGTCTCAAGGTCTTCACTTGAGCACTTGCAGATATGCAGACTGGAAGACAGGCTTTAGTAACGCAAAAAGGTTCTTGGGATTAATGCTTAAATAACCAGATGAGATTCTCTAGCCTGCTGCACCGACAGTCAGGCTTGATCTAAGGGTCCCTCCCGGCCTTAAAATCTGTAGATCTAGAATTACACACCACTATAAAACTTATGTAAGGGAGGAGAGAATAGAGGCCAAAGAATTACAAAGAGTATTTATAAGCCTGCTACAGTCATCACTAATGTACATATAATTGGCAAAGTATTTACATCAGAGGCCAGTTGTAACACATACGTTTATTGAAGGCTTGCACGTTTCATTATAAGTGAATTACTGAACATATCTAAGCCATTTATAGTGAACTGTGGCAAACCCTAAAATAAAGTAAACACATGTGCACAAGTTATTGATGTGGTATGGCTGTTCTGATATTTAAAGGCATTATAAATGATTTGCAAGGCATTTAATAAAAATGACCTACATGTATATAACACCTTTTATCCTGAGGTATCCCAAAAATTCTGTGCAAACCATACAGCCTGTCACTGCACTCCTCCAGTCTGACACCAGCATGACTCTTGCGAAGCCAGCCGGGTTACAGCGCCTTCCTGCTTGGGTGAAGTGGGACCCGTCCTGTCCTGCACAGGGAGATGGCGAGCTGAAGGGCAAGCAGAAGCTGTTCCCTAAGGCTCACAGGATCTCAGTACTTAAGCAGCCATTGGATCATCTGACCTTTTGTATTACTCAGGACATCAAATTTCACCTGCATATGTCTGAAATGAACTGAAATGGCTTTATTTCCTTTGACTAAAAGTATCCTTGTTGAGCAGTGTTGCAGTGGTCAGTAAGCCTGCATCAATTCAACTGTATCAATTCAACCACGTTCTGTTGTATACTTCATCAGGTATCACTCAACTTTTACCTAGTTTTGCTGGGTGTAATACCAAGGCACTGTGCTTACGGAAACAAGACTCCTGAAGAGTCAACGCTGTTCATAATTCCATTAGTGTCACTCATTTGCCCAGCTTTTGTGAGCAGGTCCTTTGGCACCAAGTAAAGGGAAAATGGTGCATGTTAGAAGTGATCCCATGCATGCCACTCACATGTCTGCAGCTACAGCTTCCTGACAAAAGCTGGTTTGCAGCTAAACAGCCTGTAAAAGAGGCAGAGAATCTGGCATCTTTCTTTACATGTCTAAGCATAAATACCCTCAGCTGCAACTCTCAAAACTCGCTTCATAAGCTTCCCATTGGTAATCCCTCTCATGCATTATTCCTGGTAATAGGAATACCCAAACTAATCTCATCAATTCCATGTACATATGCAAGATGTATTCTCTATGACTGGTTGATATTTCCATTTTGGTGCCTTTTTACTTTCTAAAAAGATCACATTGGCCCTCTTTCTTTCAGCATTGCACTGACAGCTCTTGCTGGGTTATGGTTATTTAGGACAACATCTAACTCCTCTGAATTTCCACAACAGTGTCTCATGGCATACAGAAATACCTGACCTTCATAGCTTGCAGTCTTAAAACTCAGTTTGCTGGAAGAGCACTTGCCTAGATGATTTGATCTCTTTGTGACAGAAACTTGCCTTCTTCTTCATTTACCATTACATTATTCTTTATTTAAAAAACACCTGTTATTTGAGACTATTTTATTATGAAGTTTGTTGAAGGAAATATGAAATGTTATCGGATCAAAAAGTAGTCTGTGGGGACCCCTCCTAGAACCCCTCCTAGAAAAAAAATAGGTGAGATTTGGTTTTGATGCACCTTTTAATTCTGAGCACTAACAACCAGTGCAATAGGACCCTTCAGCAGGTCTGCAGCTGCAGCTTGCAAAAGACAGACAGGCGAGCAGGGAGGGAACTCCCACAGCTCCATTAGGTGCTCCCATTTGCTGCTCGGAGGACTAGGGCTGGATGGGGGCAAGTGGAGGGACACTGTAACAAAACTTACCCCAGAATGCAGGCAAAGCTATTAGTAGTAAATCGAAAACCTTGGAGGAAGCCAAGTATGCTGTCTTAGAACACTCCTCATATCAAACATCAACAACCTTATTAGCTAGGGATAATGGGTTGACTTAACAAGGCATGCTTTCCAGGAAGCCATACTACTGGCAAGGATTCCATTTCTCAGTTCTTTGCTGGTGCAGTTCCAAATTAACCATGCCATTATGTTAAGTACAACTGACATTAGGCTACACGCTTTTGTAATTTTCTAGCTTTCCTCTTAATCACTTTTAAACAGTGGAACTACACTGGCAATCCTCCAGTCCTGTGGAATTCCTCAGTTTTCCAAGATTTATTAAATACCCGTCCAACACCACTGTATAGCCTGGATACATTCTCATTCAGCACCAGCAAAGATACAGCACTTTCAGAGAGGCAAAAAAAGGAATAATTCTTTTGCACAAAGCTACAACATCTTAAGTCACGGTGGAACTGAACCAAAAAAAATGCTCTAACACTCCTGAGAAGGGCATCATGGCATCTTCAATTGACACTAAAAGGAGGTAGTTTTCAAGCTTTTCTGAAAACATTACCTGGAGCAGCCCAAAGCCCATAAAGCTCTGGCCTCTGAAACATCAATATTTTTTTCCTAGCATGAGACAGACTTTTCTAATAAGACTTCCAACCAAGTACTAGCACTCCTTTGAGAAACTGTCTTGTGATAACAAAACATGACCGCTGGTGTAGAGATCTCAAAATGAAAACAGAAAACCAAACCTCTCCATGTTTTTCAGCTCTCTTATGCTACTCCCCTCTTGTTCACATCAAAGCAAATCCTAGCAGAGCCAACATACCTGGAGTGATAGGAGGTGCTGTTACCGAATTTTAGGGGGAACAGATTAGAGATGTCTGTGTCGTGTGTTTTTCAAATGCACAATGCAGGTCATTTCTTAGAGTTTTTTGGATCACAGCTACATAAACAACTTTGCTGCTATGCCCAGAAGGGCCGTGATGTCTAGCAGGTAGTAAGAACAAGCAGCTGACAGATGCAGGCAGGCTTAGAAGGGACAGGAACAGGAACTTCTTATGCTCAGCTGTGAAAGGAATTGCAAAATGGAACTGCAACCTCAGAAACTTGCTAAATGCTAATGGCAAATCATTGAGGGACTCAGAATGTTCCCAGATAAACATTTTCTCCAGTGCCAAAGACGACTTAAGAAG